TCCGGCAAAAAACACTCCGACGCTGACTGTCTCTCTCGTGCGCCTGTCGACCAACCGCTGCCCGACGACCCGGATGACGACTACTTCTTGGGAACGATAACTACTGACGACTTCGCTGAACGACAGCGGGCAGACCCGGAACTTAAGGGCCTAATAGAATACCTCGAAGGCAGGACCGCCGAAGCCCCGAAGGTATTCAAGCGCGCACTTGCGTCGTTCTTTCTACGAAACGGCCTTCTACAAAAGAAAACCTTTTCACCACTCCGAGCTAAGTACCTCCTTGTGGTGCCTTCAGCTCTGCGACCAGAACTCCTGCAGGCCCTGCACGACGATCCGACGGCAGGGCACCTCGGTGTTTCTCGCACGCTCGCGAGGATACAAGAGAGGTACTACTGGCCACGTCTTACCACCGACGTCACTCGTTATGTGAGGACATGCCGGGACTGTCAGCGACGCAAGACACCGCCGACAAGGCCAGCGGGACTTCTGCAGCCAATTGATCCACCTTGCCGACCTTTCCAGCAGATTGTTTTGGACCTACTGGGGCCATTCCCGACGTCGGCTTTCGGAAACAAGTGGATCGTGGTAGCTACCGACTACCTCACCCGCTACGCCGAGACAAAAGCCCTGCCAAAAGGCAGTGCATCCGAGGTAGCTAAGTTCTTCGTCGAAAATATCGTCCTACGTCACGGCGCCCCGGAGGTCCTTATCACCGACAGAGTAACGGCATTTACTGCCGACTTAACTCAAGCGATCTTGGCATACAGCCAAACAAACCACCGCCGGACGACAGCGTACCACCCACAGACCAACGGCCTCACCGAGCGGCTTAACAAGACGATCGCCGACATGCTGTCAATGTACGTCGATGTCGAACACAAGACGTGGGACGCCATTCTTCCGTATGTGACCTTCGCATACAACACGGCGGTGCAGGAGACGACGCAGATATCTCCATACAAATTGGTCTACGGAAGGAGCCCGGCAACGACGCTCGATGCCATGTTACCCAACGTCACCGACGAAGAAAACCTCGATGTGAGCGAGTACCTTCAACGCGCCGAAGAAGCCCGACAACTTGCGTGTCTCCGTATCAAGAATCAACAGACGACCGACAGCCACCGTTACAACCTTCGACGACGCTTCGTGGAATACCAGCCCGGTGAACGTGTTTGGGTGTGGACGCCGATACGCCGACGTGGACTAAGTGAAAAGCTTCTGCGACGGTACTTCGAACCCTACAGGGTGGTTCGACGTCTCGGCCCACTTGATTACGAGGTTGTCCCCGACGGCATCACGAACTCTCAACGACGCCGATCGCGACCTGAAGTCGTCCATGTCGCGCGCCTCAAGCCGTTTCATGCGCGTTAACAAATTGAACCATTGTTTTTTTGTATTATTGTTGTATCGTAATTTATTCATTGTACTTTCTTGCATTATTATTGTACTTTCATCTTTAGTTAAAGCATCGGGACCATGCCTTTTTTCAGAGGGGGGCAATGCCACGTTCCATTTCCCAAGTTTTTGTTATCGTTCCAAAACACCACACGATTCTCAGCGCAAACCGCGCCTGCAGTTTTCCAGAAGGTTCCGGACTGTAGTAGATCATTTCGATAAGATCACGCCCACTGTGCGAATGGTACAGAGTGTTCTGGAACCTACGCCACCGCCAGCGATAACGCTAGAACATTCGACGGCAAGAGTATAAATGTCGACGCGCTTCGCCGCTTGTGAGTTGTTGATCGAAGGCCGACGCTGCGTTCGCCGCTATCAGTCCGAGACTGCAATCTGTGCAAGACTGCTGCTGTAATTAGACTTTTCATTTACCGGGCACAGGTTCGCCCAAATAAACAGTTAAATCCCAACGCGAAGTTTCCTGTCTTCGGCCACGTCACGACGCCGTGACAATATGGTGGTTTTGGGACGTTAAACCCCACAAATCAATCTTGAACGCACTGCCAGGAGCCGCCAGTGCACGCAGGCCACGCGTCGTCGTGTTCCCTTTCATGCAGCGCATGGCTTTTGTTGCAACACATGGCTTTGCGCATGTTGCGAAAGCCCTGCGCATGGCTTTTGGACGCGGCATCCATCTCTTTAAAGAGAGAGAGAGAGAGAGGATGTACGGCTAAGCGAAGCTGCTTGTTTTCTCTCTCCACAGGGAGAGGGTGTGACACCCAGTCTGAAATCCATGCGCTGATGGACTGCAATGGGTACGTGTGGTCAGGCCTTTAGACTGCTGCCCGAATAGGCTTGTGCAAACAGTGAATTTCAGGTTTGAAGCGAATTCGAAGCAAATAGGAATTTTGGTCGAATAATTTTAAATCAGGTTCGAACAGTGTCTATATCACATGTTATATAAAAATAGAGCCTATGTCCTCACCCAACTAATCTGTACAATATTTTTAAGTATTGACACAAGGCCTGTGCAAATGCCTTTTTTTTTCATCAAATGAAGTGGAAACTGAATAGTAGCAGGATTTCACTCTTGGTAGTATGCCAGTGACAGCCTGCAAAGTACTTTAGGTTTTGAAATTCGCTGTACTTGGAGCACGAAATTCGGCATTTAAACTTGGGAAAAGTGAATAGATGCGAGGGTAAATATATCATGTAACCTTGAAGTGGGGTCTGCGGCAGTGTGGATTTCTCCTTGATACACGTTTTCCCGGCTTAGCACCACTTCAATGCAGTGAGACTTTTACCGAGAATTTTACAGAAAGTTACATGCGAACCAATATGCATATAGATAGGTGTTTTCACGACTCGACATTTCTTCATTGCATTGAAACAACCTTTAGAGGCAACTCCTGCAGTTTTTTGAGGTGAATGGATCTCAATGAAATTCTCTGGATGCGTTCCTTTGCACATTTCCGTCATTTATGCCAAATTGCAGCTTTTGAGAGATGCACCGATTGTTTGCAAATGAGCTTTAAAGATTGCCTCAAAAAGCTCGCCTCGCTTGCCAGAATTATTAGTAACACTGTCCGTGTGACGTCATGTTTGGCCAGTCAACGAAAGTGACACTGCTGATGGCATCGTTACTTTGGCCGCTACAGCGTTTATTGTGCGGCCACAAGACGACTGCAGTGGTGTTTGGCACGGGTATAGCACAGGAAAGCTTTCTTCTTTCCTCTGTGCTCTTGGGCCGGCGCTCCGCTAGTCTGGCTTTCACAGTTTACATACTCTGCGCCGGCGGGACTCCGGTTCTTGCCAAATAGTACGTCATAAGCAGACAGGGGGCCCGGTTTGGTTTTGGTATTGCACTTTTTCGCTTATTGAAAATTTTCAAATTTCCTGCGCATTTGAGCTACTGGGCTCATTACAAGAGTGTCTGAGGAACGTAGAAACACCAGTACCTTGACGTGGTCCAAAAATTGCCGGTGTTGGCCTTTAAGGGGTGTTACATGTAGCTAATATGCACCTATTCGTTAGTCTCGAATAAATAGAAATTTTCAACAATTTAAATTAGATTTGGAGGCAATTAGAATACTGCACTATTCGTTCAAATATTCGGAGCATTCAAATATTCGCACAATTCTACGCCCAAAGTGCCAGCAGCTGATGTGCTGAGCAACCTTAGCAGTAGCACATTTATTAAACAGACATTCACTGAAGTGTCGACGAAATCGGATATATGTGTGGGAAAGCATAAGACGCCTATGCACTCCCACAGATACGAGATTGGGCACGAGATTATGCAACGCTGAACATTGCCCAGTTGTCCAAAGCATAAGCACTGAAGCGCACTTTGTGCACTTGACTCATTCTTCGATTTAGAAGATTCCTGGCTGTTGGATCTTTTATCTCGCAATGAATGTACAAGCAGTAAGGGAGTGTATAGCGAACTATCCCATTGTTGTAATAGATGCACACTTGACACCGGAATTTCTTGACAATGTTAAGCACTGGTGGCAATGCCATTTCACACGCGTCAGGCATTCACAAGGGCTAGCTTTTTTGTAACTTAAATCATCGAAGAAGGGCTGCACTACGAACTATATATATAAAAGCTTATTACAGCAACCGCTTAATAGTTACCACAAGTTTGGTGTGGTAATTTGGCACTAGCGACGCTGTAGATTCTATAGTGTAAGAAAATGAAGGGTGCAGACTATGCAACAGAAATGAATGCCAAGTATTGGATGAAGTCTTGCATGCTTCATACGAGTGTTTTAGAAATCACGCCCATATGCATGACTCGACAATGGTGTACAGTAACAGCGAGTTGATTCAAACCCTGGGGTCTATAACACAGTATAGGTTGCTAATAACACAAGTCGTGAATGTCCGCACTATGTCCAGACAGTGGGCTAGTCCGAGAGGACGGTAACGACAGTGACCCGCTTTAGTCGCTGTTGTCGACGCCATGAACACTTCCCGAAGCTTTCTTGAGTGCAGTGTTGGTGAAGTGCAATGTGTGAGCAGGCTTGAGATCATGGCACTTACGGCAGCCAACTACCGTACTAAACAATGTAGCATCACCGATTACTTAGACAAACTTTTTTTTTCGTCGCATGAAACATGACTGTCATTTCACTTTATAATGTGTTGCTCTTGTTTTTTTCTTCATTCTGGTTAATTAAAAAATGCATTTAAATCGAAGAGTTTTCGCGCTCCAGTGGTCTTCAAATTGTCAAGGTTTTACTATATAGCATTTTCAGAACACTGAGAATGCTTCAGCTTCGGAGAAGCTAGGCCTCCACTTTTTTCAACAAGACTACAAACCTTCAATAAAACACTACCTAGAGGCTTAGTTTTCATTGAAATGTACGCTCGTACCTCACTATATTGAAATTGCATCTTACGCAAAAATAAGCTTACTATACCTAAAATTTTAATAAGAGTACATTCTTAACATCATGCAAGAGTATTCCTTATTGTCTTTATTAGAACCGATATATCCTATCTGGTTTCGTTAGTGTGAGTGTGCATTTTTTTCAGTATCTTTTTTTTAAATTCGGCGTTTTAGGTTACCCAGCATGGCTTAGCAATACGCATCTCACCTCAAGGGATGCCATGTAGTCGAAATTGTCCTGTGCATACTGGGCACACATCTGTGGCTCGTTGAGGTCGGCTGCATCGATGTCTGGCACCCCGGGTGGCAGTAGAGAGGCAGAGAATGCCTGGGCATTTACAACAGGCTCCTCCTCCTCCTCGTTGATGGAAGCCTTCTTCAGGCTCTGGGACAGTAGAGAAATCTCCTTGCCAGCCGCGGTCTGCCAAGGAACATCAATAAGTACATTACGGCATTGACAACAAATAAAGCGTTTTCAAATTGTAAAGTTAGCTTTCCAACGGTGGCTGGTCATATAGTGCAAATAACCTGGTCAAGTGCGGTTCGCTTACACAACGACATGAAAAATGTCGAGTCTCCTTTTAATATAGAATCTCAATAGAGGAGCTCCAGCACATTCAACTAAAACCGAGTCTCTGCTTGAACTATGACAAGTGCCGGCATCATTTATTCAAATATGCATTGCAAAAAAGCACACTTGCAAATTATAAAAAGGGTCCATTGCACGAATTCAATACAGAATATTACTATGGAAGTAATGCTCAGGGAGACACCCAATGCTATAAACCTTTGATTCAGCAAAATTTAAGCACACGGTTATATTTTTACACTTTAAATAATCGAATTCACTTTGGAGTGCATTCAATGTTTACAAAATCTTGAAGCATCCCAACTCTGAAATTCGCTGTGGCAGTGGAGCCACAATGTCGCGACACATATCTAGGGAAAATCTAAACTGCCCCCAAAGCACACGCCAAGCTTTACCCCTTAATGCCTGAATTATGCAAGTGCTTGAAGAAAATGAAAAACTCATTTTTCAGCTTTAAATAGCAACCCTTAAATCATTCCACAGCTACACTACTACAATGCACATTTAATGCATACTTCTATGTATCGTATGTCTTGAATTCTTTACATGTCACGGAAGGCCGGACCTTGCAATAAAGAACATACTTCAGAACTGCGCAACATATGTGCCACGTCTCGAGAGCGTACACACTAAATGAACAAAATTTTATTGAACATAGAACTTGTGTAAGCCAGGCAAGAAAGAACGAAGAAGTGAGCGCTCTTGCATGCACTCTCCGCCAACAGCTACGGAACAATTATTCCAGCATAAAATGCATTACATAAGATGGTGCTAGATTTTCCTTGCTGAAAGGTACGTTCCTCGCAAGTACTCGACAGTCAGCATTAAAGGCAGCCCACATTCCGTGACTTGCTTACTCGAAGTACTTCGGTATGTCATGAATTCGTGACATTAGACAACAAATCGTGAAAGGGACACTAAAGGTAAACAATTTATGTCAGTGAAAAGTCAACGTTTGAGAAGTGAGACTTCAAATTTTATGCAGCTGTACTCTACTAAGCGAAAAATACACAACATGTGCGCATACACTGGAATGTTTTGCAACGAGCATTACTGTGCTGACCTTGCGGCGACTTTCCCAACAGAATCTGAAAAAAAGAGCTGCTAGCCAGCCAGATAATGGTCAAATGCGATCATCTCCTTCAAACCAAAACTTTTAATTAGGTGACTGAGTAAAAAGAACACAAAGCAATGAATAAACAAGTTGATGGGGCATTCGAAACCGTATAAAAGCGGTGCAAATCCTTTGGCACACAAAGACACTGAGGCTTGAAGTTCTTGTCCTCTTAGCGCTTCAGCACAAGGAAGAAAACGAGTAGTGGCTTCACACGGTGTGTCACCAGAAGTCAGCCTTGAGCTTTTTGGAACCATTAGCGACCGAAGGCACCCCACTTTTCCAGAACGAAGCCACAAACACACAGCCCCGCCACTGTTGAATGGTCAAGGCAGTCAGCGCTTTGAACACTGTGCGCTCCGAGCGCATAACAGAGCGCAATGAAGTTAAGAGTACCGTGGATAATTACTAGCATGCAAAGTAGTTATAAAAATAACTGGCCATGCATTCCAACATTGTCACCTGGAGAATAGCAGTTGGCATCAATTTGGCGGATGGAGAAGGTGGGTCAAAGCTTTTACTAGAATACGTTCCACTCGCTCAGTCCTCAATATCAGAGTACCGTATTTACTCGCATAATTGGCACAATCGCATAATAGGCGCACTCCCCTAGTTTGGTCGTGCAAAATATGACTGATTCCGCACATAATAGGTGCACCCCGAACTTGGCCACGATCAGAAATGATTCTACCCCTCAGCGGTACAGTTGGAACGCGGTCCCGTACCCTGGAGAAAAAAAGAACGCAAATCGACGAGGAAATAAACGTTAATGCAACGACCTAACGGAAACAGGTTTGTCGAAATAAAAGTTGAAAAATAAATAAAGAGTCCATAAGCGAAAAAAATGGCTGTTCTATCTATTACTGATACCCCTCCCCCCACCAATGTCTCTTTTCACTCGACGAATGTGCAGATTTAAAACGCAAGAACCGAGTCAAAAAAAAATTTCAAAAATTTTACCCCGCGATTGGCGCACCCCTAACTTCAATAATTGGAGTCTAAGTCATCTCCCACCCCTAATTTCGAACCGAATTTTCTGAAAAAAAGTGCGCTTATATTGCAAGTACACCTATAATGAGAGGTGCGGCTGTACGCGTGCTTGAGAGAATTAGGAAATGCTTCTTTTGCTGTGGTTTTGAGCAAAAACAGCAGTTTCTCCCAACCAGCTTTCTAAACTTCGCAGTGCTAGCTTTACTATTATGCAAATTTTTTTAACAGACGTGGAAATGAGTGCGAGCGTGTGGAGAGTATTGAAATCAGCACTCTGGTGAAAAAAAATGCAGCCGCTCAAAACGTGTAGCTAGCAGCGATTTCAGCCTAAAAGACAAAAGTTCTGTATTTCAATTGCCATAATGAAATAAGCATTCTCTTTTTGGTACATTCTGATGTAAAATCATTAAATTTTTTGCATAACATACGCAACAATTTGTATCGCATTTTGAATAGCTTTTTTCGGTTGTTGCCAAGCTTTCCTCTAGTGCAACTTCCGCGAACTAAATCTTGCAATTTTTTAGCACAGTTTCTTTCCCCACACTATAGAATCATGGAACTTGGTTACTTGGCGACATTCGATCACTCCTCCTGAATGATAATAAGACGTGGTGAAAATCATTATGTATAGGAAAAGCTTAAGTTTTTATTTTTGCAAATAGTTTGTTAATTCTCACATATCTTTGTCTGTTAAGACCTTTCCTGCATTATTTAATCACACTGCTGTAACAGCACTTTCACAGGCCTGCAGTAAGTAAATAAAAAATATGAATATAAACCACGACAAACCGAGAGACTACAGATATATTTTTCATGCCCCAGGCCTTTAACCCTAAATGGAAATTTTTCTTACCTGTTTCGCACCGAGTGAAATGTGGCTGCTTGTGGCCTGGTGACTGCCGTTAGTATCGATGCTTTCATACTGTTAGTGCCAGCGCACTTTTTAATATTAGCCTAAAATTAAATGCTACACTTTCTCAGCAGCTGCAGCCATTGTGAAAAGGGCTATACATGAAGGGCTGTTGCATACACATTCAGCAGTGAGAAAGCACAATCCATTGGCCACACAGAGAGCAGGTACACTCAAACCTCAATTTAACAAAGCCGCACCTGGCACGGAAATACTTTCGTTATATACTAAAATTTGTTATAAACATTTCTATCACTGTAGCTATGACAGAGCTATTCTTAATTTACTTAGTTATAACCAATACTTTGTTATATCGAGTGTAGTCACCTAGCGAAAGCTTGATTTTCTGTTAAACTGCGACAAGTATTTTAACAGGAGATCAATTAAGTGTCTGTGCAATCCCTACTTTTGTACACAGACTTCCCTTAGCAAGCAAAGAAATGAAACTTGGGTGCTTTGCCGGCTGCAAGCTTTTCAACTGGCGTGATACCGATTCTGCACAACATTTAGGCCATTGAGATCGAAATTCCAGGCAGCAACAATGCAATAATGTGTTTTGTGCACATACGAGTGCACACCGATTAGAAATTATCATATGTGTCCAGTATCTCTAGGGCCTATTTTCCTTTGTCGCACTACCCGCGGGCACACAATTTGTTCGACGCAATCGTCCTACACCCGCTCTTCAACAGTCAAAAATTACACGAAAGATCCACAGAAAGTACCACAGCCCTCAGCTTGTGTCGCACCGCGGAAACATTTCGGCACGCAAACGATTTCCCTCTGTGGCACAGCAGCACTGCAGCCCCTTTTTGCAGCGTATGAAGCTGCCCCATAGCGTGACTGCAAAGTTTTGAGGAGTCTTGAATGATTGGCAAGTTTCCACCAACATTGTCCGAACATTGAGGTCGTTTCGTCTTGGGAATGAAATTTCAACAGTCTGCGCCGAATAGTATTTTGCCGTTAGCGTACGTTGAAGTGAGCATATCTGTTCCCTAATTATTCCCTTTCTTGAATATTGAAAGAGTGTAGGTGGGGTCATATGGAAAAGTTTGACTAAGTGACAACTTACCGCTTATAACTCTCACTGTTACTTAAATCCAGCTACTACCAGAAAGAATTTGATGTAATATAATAGAATGCAAATTTCTATTCCCTATGAACTTAAAAAAATGTACCAGCCTATAGAAAGTCCAAGGGTTCAACATGGTGCTGAAGGCACTCACTTTTTATAAGGTAGTGTTCGCGCAGGGCTATGCAGCCAACAACTTACTGGGAGCCTAATATGGAGCTGTATTCAAATTGAAGCACTTTGTAGCAAGCTAAATCTGCAATTCCACCATAACATTGCATTCTCAAACACAGACAATAGAGAATGAAATACATTAAAAGAATATATATGCACATATACACCCCATAAATTGAATGGAGGTGTAGCAGCTGTTGTAGCTCAGTTGGCAGAGCATCGGACGCGTTATGCGAAGGCTGAAGGTTCAGTCCCCGCCCATGGCAATTTAGCTTTTTGTACACTTTTCTTCCCATTGGCATTACCTAATAACATCCCCTATACTTTCCTTGGCAAGACTGTCTGTTAGATCACAATAATATTAAAAGAATATGCCATGAAACTAATTTCTCTGTGATGATATTGCTATACTCCGCAACAACTTAATGAAGCGAAGGTCATTGAGGTGGGACTCATATTTGCGTTGCTACGCTACTAATACAGCGGCTTGCAGCCAAATTCCTTTCTGTTTGGTCACATTGTTAACGCAAACTAAACAGCGCATTTGCGGGCACACAGTGACCCACTATTTCGTGGATGCCATGCTCACTCTGTAAACCATTGAAAACCAGTGGGAAGGCTGCAAAGATGGCGTCATTAAAGAAATGAAAAGGAAGGCATTCTTGCAAATCAAACAAATATTTCACCTACAACTTTCCACAACTGTGTCTCTCGAAATAAATGCAGCGTTCATTTAACCGGAGAAAATTATAGTAAACAAGTACAATTTAAGGCATGGTAGCAGGCACAGGTTTCGTTCCTTTAGCTTCCACAGTGCAGTTAAGAAAATTTGTCGCCTAATATGGCACCACACACCAATACACCTACTGCCCACAGTACTTGACAACCTGTGCAGTTTACACTGGTGATTGCAATGCTATGATGTGTTCTACTGTCAGTCTTGCCTTTGGTGCTGCGATCCTGTTTGGCGGTCGCAGTGGTGTTCTCTGTGGCGATTGGTTTGCCGGCTTTTGCACCACTGTGCCGAGCTTCTGACCAGCAGCGGCTGGCTTTTGGCTCGCTTGGAGTGGCTTCTTTGCAGCAGGCGAATTCTCAAGCCGAGTCTGTAAAAAAAAAACGTGCACAAAAGCATGTCAGAGGTTGCATCAAAGGGGCACTAAAGTCATATAACAATTTAAGTCAGAGTGAAAGCTCAATGTATGACAACATCTAAAACGACAATATTAACAGTGCACAACCTAATAGTGAAAAATTCAGGTAAATGCAGAAGAGAACAAGCGCGAAGTAGGACATTTTCAAAATGATCCCGATGACATTAGACGGACCGCCTACAATAAATCACTAGTAATCAATCTATCTGCACAAAATAAAGAACCTTCCATGCATCAAGAGACGCAATAAAATACTGCTTGTTCGTTTCTGTTTGATTTGAAAGAACCGCCGGATGTTACCATGAGGAACGGGAAACGGCCCAAGTGGTTCAATTTTCGTTTGGTTACACGGGACAGGTGGTGCGATCTAGTGGGGCGAGGTTGAAACAAAAAATGTCTGCAGTCTCGAGGCGAATGGCGGGAAATTGATCAATGGCCGTTGTTGCTGCTGTGGTTCCTGCCGCTTTCGGTCACTGAGAGTAGCACAGTAAAGCCGGGCAACGTTGTGCACGGCAACAGTGACTCGAGTCTTTCCGATCGATCCGCTTCTTGAGGCGGGTAATTCGAAGTGCGCTAACCCAATGCAGACCATCAAAACACGATTTTATTTCAAAATAAGCTCTTCCTAGGCACAGAACACTACAAGGATTTAGGACCGCCATTACAACAATCAACGTCGAGACTTAACAGTTGCCTTTAGTGTCCCTTAAAAGACGAATGGATCGTTTGGCTTTAGTTGAAGCAGCAGACCATGCGAGACAGAAGATCACAACATTGGTCCTGGTCGACTCCAATAATAGCATTTCACCCAATGGTGAGGGCACCATTGAATGTGAAACAACGTTTGCCAATCATGGAACAAGGCAGGGCCTGTCAAACTCAACATACATTAAAGGAATGTCGCACACACACTTGTGTGCGAACACTGAACGAAAGGTTCCTTGCCAACCATACTGCCACGTTCCAGTTCCCCAGATTTCTTATCGCCCCAAAACACTACACAATTCTCAGCGCAAGCCGCGCCTGCAGTTTTCGAGAAGCTTCCGGACTTTAGTAGACCATTTCGCTAAGATGACGCCCACTCTGCGAACTGTACAGATAATTCTGGAACCTACGCCACCGCCAGCGATAACGCTAGAACATTCGATGGCAAGAGTATAAATGCCGACGCACTTCGCCGCTTGTCAGTATAGTTGATCGACGGCCGACGCTCCGTTCACTGCTATCTGTGCAAGACTGCTACTGTTATCAGGCTTTCCGTTCACCGGGCACAGGTTCGCCCAAATAAACAGTTAAATCCCAACACAAAGTATCCTGTCTTCGGCCACGTCACGACCCCGTGACAATACAGTATTGAATATGCCTCACAGGCATCCTGAACGGCATTGCATAAGATATCATCAGCAATTACAAAACAAAACATACAAGCAAAACCCTAACAATGTTGTACAATAACGCGCAACAGAAATCAGTTTATCACGAAAAGTTTCACTGAGAGAGACTGATGATTGCGATCGAGAAAACTGCTCCTATATACAATTGCTCTAGGCTGCAGCGACAAGTTAAATGCCTGCTAAGGGGCTCTGAATGAATGCCCACAAAACTGATTGCGTTGCAATTACATCGAGATGTGTGCACGGGAGGATGAAGCTGAAAAACGTAAATTATCACTGTAAATGTACCTAAGCAACAGACAAAACAAATATGCAATGATGTTGAAAAGACAAACACAAGGTGCTTTGTTCAGGTAATACTCTAACAATAGGCATAGTTGCAAGAGGCTGCTCTATTCTGAATGGCCTCCATCATATGGACTAGATAATCTTGTTTATGTTGACTATGTGGATGAAGACATTTGTGATGCATTAAAGTAGTCCCAAAATGTCCAAGCAGTCGGGCTGCTATGAAGCCTAGATGTGAAATGGGGGCCGGGTGGGCCGATGTGGTCGAGTCATTTTGCGCTCCGAATGCCACGGCAAAAAACTTCGCAGACGGGAGACTGTGTGTGACCCTTGGCTACGCCATTGCTTCCGCAACTCGTGAACAGGGAACTGCCAGAAAACGAAACTCTAGATTTTCCAGAGGCATCGACTTACGCCACGAAGCCTAGCGCAACGTTGGAAACCGGGCAAGTCATGCATCCCCTATTGCAAAAAAAAAAAAAAGCCATCCCGTGAATGTTCGACTCGAGCCCAAGAGACCTTAAAGTACAGAGAAACACGAACGAAAAAATTGGCTCCTAAAATCACGAACTAAATTAGGACAGCGCACGTGCGTGCTATCGGTGATCTCGCAGCTTTACAACGAGCCAGCGTCCACTGCACACAATAAAAATTTAACAGAGCCTGTTTAACACCCTGCGTAGTCTATACGTCACGATAAGTGACCACGCGAAAACCTTCGAAAATTCCCGCCATACATAGACCGAAATACCAAAACATGTGTATTGACAGCCACGGCGGGCACCTTGAACAAGATTCGAAACAAGCGGCTGGCAGGACAAAATGGAAATCATTGCGCTACGAAAGAGCGCACCGCTGTTTAAGCACGTTCGCCCAATGACATTCAATTTAGGCCACAAAAAACACCAAGGAATGCCGATTCCGCAGCGTCGAAGACTATTACAAGAAGCTACCAGGCGCGCTACAGCAACGGCCCACTGCAACAGCTATCGTAAAAAAAGGGGCTAGCATTGTCAACACATTCGCCTAGGCTTCGTTGGCCACTCACCCATCTTGAAGAACGTCCAAAAGTGGCCATGTCTTCAGGAGCACAGACCTTTCTTCGAGACTTCGCTTCCACGCTGCAACGGTCGTCCCTTTGAATGTGCCGCTGATGCACCAGCCAGCCGTCCCACACGCTCCCGCAGCACGTATGAGCCTTTCTCAACGGTTCCAATGCGTCATATTGGCCCACGTGACCCGCCCCTAGGCACCTGGGGGCCACGAGCTGTAGTACTAGTCGTAGTATCTATAGCGCAAACATTCGCGCGTAATTTGAATTGTCGTGCACACGCGCAAACCAAATAAATATTTAAGTAAATATGTTTGTTTGTTTGTTTGTTTGTTTGTTTGTTTGTTTGTTTCTTTGTATCCTCTAATCCATGACTCGTACCCACTCTGGGGGATTGGCTGAGAGAAGATATAGTCTTATATGGACAATAACTGCATTATTGCTTACAACGAAAAAAAAAAGGGGGGGGGGAGTTGTATAGTGAAGACAATATGTCTAAAAAAAAGAAAGAAACCAAAGATTTGGATATTGCGAAAAAAGAATCAACAACAAAGTAGACACTAATAGCTATAACTTAAATTTGAGAGCCGACCAGACAGCTGGTTTTGCCAAACCCGATTAATTTGGTATGTCACGGATTTATCCAGAATTGAAAATTACTTTTTGACCCGGTTTTTTTTTTTTGAGTATCTGTTAACGTGGGCTTTATGTTGAAAAACGTTTAGAGTCTTGAATAAAAGTACACACCGCATCGAATGCATCTCTGTGGCAATTTTCCAAAACAGAGGCACCAAAATTTAGAACATTTTCTGTGGTTAAATTTAAACCTAGCATCGCAAATGGAATATCTAAAAGTCGTTTCCTAATTAATGCATAGTTACGACATGAGCCAAAATAATGTTCAATAGTTTCTGATTCTTCGCAAAACGGACAAAGAGGGGAAAGTGTCAGGCCCGCTCTGTGTAAATAAAAATTTAATGGGGGGACACGGCACCGGCATCTGGAGATTATAATTTCAAGTTTTTTTGACGGACTCCACTGGGCTTTCTATGGAAATTTGAGGTGCTGATAATCTGTCCATTGTGTGATATTTTCTAAACTATCTGTAAAAATAGCGAATTTTCTATATCTAACCCCTGATAAGTATTCTAACTCGGGAAGTACTGAAATTACTGGTCCATCGAGTGATGCACGTGCCAAAGCATCTGCCAATTTATTTAATTGTAATCCGCAATGACCTGGGACCCACACTAATTGAGGAGTTTTAAATGCGGCCGTGCTAATGTGTGGAACGCTGCTAGGGCACGAGATTGTTCAGAGGTTGTCAGAGCTGCACACACCGAAAGTGAGTCTGTTAGGATGATTGCACTGGTCTCGGTCGTAGGAATTTTACGAAGAGCTAAAATAATAGCTACTAGCTCGGCTTCAAATATGGGAGTGAAATCTGGAAGCCTTACTGAAAAAGACCAGCCGAGAAAACCAGACACAATTCCTACGCCTGCCTTTTCATTGTTGACAGAAGCATCTGTAGCTATTACATTTTTTGTTTCTGCATGTACCAAGTAATCGTGTAATGTAGTGGTCAAAAATCTAAGAGATTGCAACTTGGCTTGTGGGGGGAAAATTTCATCGTACTCTATTCTAATGTGGATGGTTGAGAAACTAGTTTTAATTACTGTGCTAATGTCTACATTTATGCAATCCAGTTTATTTTTAACGAAAATTATCTGAGGGGTATGAAATCGAGGCCAATGTGCAAGAAAGAAAGAGTCAGGGTCGCTGATAAATGCGTACTCTGATCTTCGCGCCGGTAAACTGTAGAACTTTAAGAAGTTTTGAACCGTTTGAATGCGGAATCGACAGAGGAGTGTTCGCAATCGCGCTTCTTGATACAATACATTAATCGCCACGAACCTGGGAAGTCCCAGGCATATTCGCAGGGCTTCTCGCTCTAACATTACTAGCGGTTTAATTTTATAACCAGCGGCCCCCGAGAATAATACACACCCAAATTCCAATATTGGTTGCACATAATTTCATATATTATTAACATCGTGTGTCTGCGCAGCCCGTATTTTCTGTTGCTTAACCTGCGTAATAAACCTAACGCCCGTTGTGTGTTTGCTGTTATATATTCAGTGTGTGGGCTCCAATTTAGCTTTTCATTATAAATAATTCCTAAGTACTTGACTGAATCTACTTGTGGAATAGGTTCCCGATTATACAATACAGAAATTGAAACTGTATCTGCTATAGGAAACACCAAGAGCGCACTTTTACTGATGTTCAATGACAATGAAATGGATTGCAACCAAATTTCTAGTGTAATAATATATCTTTGCAGTTTTTGATGTAGTGAGTAAATGTCGCTCTCTGCAGCGAAGAACGCGATATCATCTGCATAAATGTAGACACTGACATTCTGAACAATTGGAATAGAGCTCATCAGTATATTGAATAATGCTGGAGATAGGACGGACCCTTGGGGAACACCATGTTTCTGTTTGAATTTATGCGAACAACAGCCATCCTTCACGCAATACAATTCCCTTGATTTTAGGAACTCTGCTATCCACTCAGTAATATACTGAGGAAACTTAAGACTCTGCAAGGTGGTCAGTAGAATAGAGTGCTCGACACTGTCGTACGCTTTAGCTATGTCGAGAGTTACTAATGCGGCGTACTGTTTCCTTTTACGAGCAAGCTGTATTCGACTCTCTAAATCCGCATGGGCGCACCAAATTGAGCATTCACAACGAAAACCAATTTGATTTGGCTTTAATATGACCTTATTCGTCATCCAGGAGTTTATTCGGCCTTTTAGAACCCTCTCTATGAGTTTCACCATGTTCGAAGTTAGTGAGATGGGTCTGATTATTTCTATGGTAAAACCTAATCCTTGCTTTTTTAATAATGGGATTACCTTAGCTATTTTCCAGTCATACGGTATCCAGGCATTCTTTAAAGAGTAGTTTATAAGATTGAGGACGTCGCCGGGGGATAGCTTGAATAAAATTTTAATCATAGGAACGGTGATTCCATCTGGACCAGGAGCTGACGATGGTAGATCTCGAATGACTTTTGATGCTTCAGACAGCGTTACGCTTTTGAAGTCAGTGCTTATGCTAGACTTTTGCCAGTTGAAAGCCATTATCGAAGAAAATCTAATTTCTAGACCTCTGTCAATTGACTCTAAAGAGTTCTTCGTTTCTTTCAATGATAGTTTTTCATAATCAGTATTTAATGTAGACGGCAGGATTTTGCGAGATCGCATATATTGAAATAAAGCTTTCTTGTTTTTAGATTTTGAGAGAAAATCGAAATGTCTTTTATCATATTCTTCTTAGTTGGGCCACCGTGTGTTTAAATACAGCGGCAAGAAATTTATCATCTGACCAGTTCTTAGGGGACTGATTCTGTATTAGCTTCTTCCAAGCTGCCTGTCTTCATCTGTGATCTCGTGAACAGTGGGAATTCCACCAGGGGTTATAGGGTACTCTCTTCTCCGATTTAACAGCTAATTCAGCGTTCTTGTATGCCCTTTTGATTACTGTGCTTATTTTCATAGCTTTAGTGTCATCTCCATTCTGAGAAGGATCATCTAAAGCAGTTTTTAGGTCGTGTTGAAATTTTGCCTAATTTATATAGGTCGGGGCATGGAAGCATGATGGTTTGACGGGGCAAGCGATCTCGAACAATACTCGAATGTGGTCACTGTTGGAGGCGCAATCAAGGGCTGTCCACGATGTACTAGCAATGGCCGAGCATACAAAGCTTAAATCTAAGGCGGAGCGTGAATGACCTCGAATAAATGTGGGAGTTCTAGCGTTAAGGCACAATAAGTTGTTGTCTACCGACCAGTCCCACAACCGTTGTCCACACTGATCTGTTCTAAAACCCCAGCAGGTATGGTGAGAGTTGAAGTCGCCAACTATAATTTTTTTCTTTACAGCCTGAATTAGCAGCCATATCTAACAATCTCGTGTCTTGAACGACTACAGGAAAGTAGACGTTTATTAGCGAGAAAGGCAAGTATCCTGGCAAGGTAATATCTAACGCAAAAGTTTCGCATTCAGAAGACATACATTTGTATGAGTTTCTGACTTTTAAACTAATTTGATTGTTTATAAAGAAAGCTAAACCTCCACCTTTAGATGGACGGTCTAGACGAAAGGTTTGGAAGTTGGGTAGGTGAAATAATGATGTGTGGATAGCCAAGTTTCTTGTAATGCAATAATAGCCGGATCGAATTTGGAAGACAGGTATAACAGATCTGTTATGGCTGAGTGAAGAGATCGGCAATTCCAATGCATAATTTAAGAGACCCTATGATTTCGTTAAAATGGTTTCGGCAATAACCTTATCTAAAATACTTTCTTTTAGAAAATTGGTTTTTGAAAGGTTGTCTTTCTGGTATTTCTTGCTTGTTGCATGTTTTGGCGAGCCAGGTTTTTTCTATACAGGCTATCTAGAACGCTTTAGGCATTTGAGATCTATGTCCATATCTTGTGTGTCCTGAGAAGCTTCCTGTGCACCCTCGCTTTGCCTCTGAACGCCTTCTCCACAGGGCTCTGCAGACTATGCATCCGGTGGAGTTATCCCAGATTCTGCCTCACTTGTCGGATGTGCAGACTCAGCATTTTTACAGCCGTACTTATATCTATCTATGCTTCATAGACTTGTGCTATTTGGTTATTCACAATGTGCGACAGCGACTCACATAGGGTGGTAGCATGGCGTTGCATAGCCTTATCCACAGCCTTCTCGATCATGTCCGCAATTGACAGGGAAAAGGATGCTTTCATTGCTATGTTATGGCGGGCAGCTGCTCCTGCATACCCTTGAGTTCGGGCTTGGATTTCAGCAATGGCATCCTTTCGGGAGCATCGCCTTCTGTCTACGATTTCAAGGATTTGGATTTTACGTGCCTTGGCTGAGCAGTTTGGGTTATCAGCGCAGTGTGCTTCATGGCAAAGACAGCACTTTTCTTCATTACCTTTACAGTCGTTTGAGTTGTGCGTCTCACCACAAATTCTGCATCTAGGTACTGACCTGCATCCTTTCATTGTGTGCCCATAACGCCAATACTTAATACACTGTAGTGGACGTGGTGATAGTGGCTCCACTCTGTAAACTAAAGGCCACGCTTTGATTTCG